ATGGAAGCCCTGTTACGTTGGATATTTATAACTAGATGAAAGTCTAGAAAATGCACAGTTGTGTCAGTCTTGCTCTCGTGCCGGGAGATAGGACGTGTGGGATTCAGTTAGTCTTTTCTGTTCAATATAAGGTCAAGAGTTGCTTAGTTTTCCAAGATTCGCAAAAAAAAAAAAAAATCTGATTTCTTTGAGGTGCTGATGCTGCTTGACCAGCTGTAGAAGCTGAAGTAAGGGCACAGTAAGATAGTCCCCCGAAGTGTCGTGATGGTCCCACATCACTAGAGATGGCAGACCATGGGAAACACAACTCTGATGAGCTGATCTAACGCAAGCAGTACCTCTTAATCTCCAAATCACCTGGCCTGGTGCCAGTGTCCCCTGAGAGTCTGCTTAATGGATCCTAACCATGACCCTAGCCCCTGAAGTTCACTGAACTGTCTTTGCCAGGTTATTTACAGAGCACCACAACCTGCTAGAGTTAATACCAGTGCATTCCCTAGAGCCTTGGCCTGCCATGGCCTCTACTCTGAATTGGGTTTATATAGGTCAGGACAACTGCTGGAGGCACCAGAGCCTGACTTCCCAACAGCTGCCACGTAAAAGGAGCAAGACAGACCAGGGGATGGTGAGCAGAATAAGGGAAGATGATTATCTCCTGGGAACTGATGCGCATATCTGTATTGCATATGGACTTGTTTGTGGATGGCTACGTGATTAATTTTGTCCTGGGCTGTGAACACATACAAGGGTCTCCTGTGCAGAGGGAGGGAACTATCTCACTTATAAAGCAGAATGGATTTTGTGATGCTATGGGCAGGGAGTCACGCTGCCCCTGTGAGAGCCACTGCTGAGGACAGTGCCTATGACCTTGCTAGGGTCTGTTCATCCCCATGCCATCCCTTATGGGAAACAAAAAGCAGCCCAGGAAGTAGAACATTCCCGGGAGGAGTGGCACAGCAGGCCCTATAAAACTCCAAATTGATGTTCCCTCTAATGGCTAGCCAGAAGCCCCACTCCCCAAACATGGCATGGAGCTATGAACTCAAAGAGATTAACTGCCGTAACAGGAGAAGTCCTGGACAATTGAGACCCACAGACATTGGCAGCCCAGCCCAGCAGTCGGTTGCCTGCCTGAAGCACATGGACTAAAGGCAGCCCTCTCTGGCCTCCATCTCCCACTGCAGACCTCCCAGATCCTCTGCTCTCTCTCTCCTCTTTCACCTTTCAGCCCTGCTGGTCCCTCATCTCTGGATTGCCTGAGGTCTTCCCTCTTCTAGTCCCATTGTCACCAGTGCCCCTGCTACATCCTTCAATATGCCCTTCAAGCCTCTCTTGCATCTGGCTGGTGCTTGAAGGCCCCAGTACAGATGTTGAGAAAGTCGAGAACTGTAGCCCTGGTCCAGGAACCCCAGGGAGCCTCTTCACACTGGAGAGTACCTGGCTGGTACTTTAGTGAAAAAAGTGGTCTGTATGTCACTTCCAAACAAGAGGGTTCCTCATATTGCAAGAGCATCAGATGGATTTGGGAGCCCTGCCAGATCTGGCATCACTCTGCCTTGCTTCAGTAGCTGCAGCACAGCTAGCTTCATCATGACCCCAGGAACTAGTCAGAGAAGGGAGAGTTGTTCTGCTAGACCTTTAACACCATGCATTATCTCGGGCCCTATGTATTCCTTAACAGGGGGGCCCAGAAGGTTTTCAGGTCCCTAGACCACCTGATCACACTCTCATCAATTTTCTCACTATGTACAACCCTGACCCAAGTCAAGGATGTCCTCCAGGAGTAGGAGAAGAATTCAGGAAGACCCTTTGCACCTCCTCTTTCTCTGTCCCAGAGGTTCTTTTGGACTTGCCAACTCCATCGTAACCTCCCCTCAGTACAAGAGCACAGAAGGCAGAAGATATAGGAAAGTAGATGTTATATGCACAGCCAGAGCCAAGTCTGAGGAAGCAACTTAAGCTGGCCAGAGAAGATAGCTTGGGAAGTGACTGGTTGAGGGTAATCAGGCAGGCAGCACATAGGCAGCACAAGGAGCAGAACTGGGATTGAAGCTGTGCCAGGGCATGGAAAAGCCAGCTCTCCTGCAGTGAGATTGCAGAAACACCTCTGCTAGGGTTCTCAGGCAAAGGTGGACCTGACCAGGAGGCAATCTGAATGGACCAGCTGAAGGCAGAGCATGGTGCTCTGGGGTTTGCCCCCACCATGCCTCTCAGATCCTATGCTCCATGCATTTTTCTCACCACAGTTAGTGCCACTAAACCTGTTCTCCCTCTCTGTTCCCTGGGAAACTCCCACGGCTCCAACATCCACCACAGCACAGAGGGTTGCATCACACCTCAGTTGTCCCTATACCCCTGCCCCCTGCTCTGCCCCAGGGTCCAGGACCCCACGGGACCACCTGACTGCAGAACACAAGCTCTCCATCAGCCAGGGCTACAACACCCCGTGCAAGTACGAGTGCTGCCATCACGGAGCAGTCTTTTTGCCTCCCTGTGTCATGCCAAACCCAATTGCCTCCTTGATGCTTCCCACTCCCTCCTCTCCTGTTTCTCTCTAGATTTCCTCACCCTCACCTCTCTCTCTCCTCCCTGCCTCATCCTGGCCGGTCTCTGGCCTTGAGCTTTACCTCTCCTCCAGCCTCCCTGCCCCACCAGACCACAAGTGGCAAGCTTGACCTGCCCAGGCTCCTACCCCCATCTCACCCCACACCAGGGAAGGTACAGCTTTGAGACTGAAGAGCCTCGGGTGCAGAGTCCCCAGGAAGGGGGCAGGTGCACGTGCCGCTAACTCCTACCGTTCTCAGGGTGCTCCATTTCCCCGATGCTGCCGTCAGGTGTGGTGCGTTCGTAGTGATCCTCAGGCAGGGCTAGAGGCCCAATGCGGGGCCCTGATGATGACTTGCTGCTTGGGGTCTCTGACTCCTCCAGCCCGCTGTCATAATAACTATGCTGGGAGGGATCCTGCAGGTCCTGCGCCTGGCTGGCTGCAGAGAACGTCACTCGGCGATGAGGTAACTGGGAATGAAAAAAGCCAGCGCATCAGCCACCCAGTAGATGAAGACAAGTGGTGCTCATCAGACCCAGCCTTTAAACGGAGGCATAACACTCCATCCTAGCACTCCCAACTTCACATGGGGTCCAACATCAGCCCCTGCCGCCCCTAGAGCCTGCCTGACAAGCACAGCTCCAGGCTCCATCCCAGCTCACACCACCCTATGCTGGGAGCAAACACTGAACAACTTCCACTCACCCCTGACCCAACAGCTCCCTCTGACTACATCACTGCTCATGTCTCATTCTCCTGAACAACCTCCTCTTCCATCTCACAGCCAACCTTTGACAGACACCATCTCCCACCTCAGGACCCTTGAGGCACAGGATCCGGAAAGGTCACCTATTAGCACTGTGTCTTGAATCACAGACTGGCCCCCAGCCCAAATACCACCCTTTTTCTGGGGTCACCACTGCAGGGACACATCTTTGCACTCAGACTCAGTTTGCACCATTCGTGCTCCTGAAGACCCCCCTCACTGACTTCACTTCTCCTGAGGAGGTCTCTAATGGGATCATCTTTCAGCAGAGAGTTTCCAGTGACATCATTCCTTACCTTACCAGCCTGTGACCTGACATCATCTCTCATCCTAAGAGAATCTCCATCAAGGGTCACGATCACTTCTTTTGTCTGCTTGTTAACTATTTCAAAGCCCTACTCCATGTTTTCTCTCCCCAGCTTTGCCTCATGCTTGGGAGGAGCTCCCTGTAAACAGCCATTAAGCTATATCATTATCCTTGTTCAAATCCTTCCATAAAATTCTTATTTGTCATGATTACTGAGGAATTGGAAAGGGTAACACAAGTTCAGGGCAAAATCAGGATAATCAGAGCACAGAATGACGCATTACCACCAAGGAATCATCCTATAAGCATAAGAGGAAACCCAAGGAAGGAGCTATCTGATGGGGATCTGAAGGTGATGGGGAGAGAGAAAACCAATGCACTTAAAGATGGCATGATCTAGGCTGAAGCGTTGAATGCCTTTTTTTGCTGCAGTCTTTACTAAGACTGGGTGGCAATCATGCATCCTACACAGCTAGCACCAATGAGGAAGGGGAAGGAATTCAGACTAACAGAGGGAAGGAACATACAGGGAGTATTCAGATGAGCTAGCTGCTTCTAGGTTGGTTGGACCTGATTAAATTCACCCCAGGTGCTTGGAGACCTGATTTAAGCAACTTCAGTGCTGTTAGGGTTTCTTTTTTTTCTCTCTCTCTTTTTTTTTTTTTAAAGGAATTTGTAAAGGATGAGGGAGGCTCCAGAAAACTGGGAGAGAGCTAAAATAGTGCCTGTCTTTAAAGATGAGGAAAAAAAAAAGAAGAGCTGGAGAATTACAAAACAGTTAGCTTAATTTCAGTTCCTGGAAAAATACTGAAACAGATAAAAGATCTCTTTGTAAGTACCTGTGAGATAACAAGGAAATGAGTAACAGCTACTGTAGCTTTGTCACAAACAAACATGTCAAGCCACTGAACTTCTTCCTTTGAAAAGACATCATCAGGTCTTGTGGATGGAGGAGAGGAGGAGCAGTAAATGTTATATCTTGGCTTTAGAAAGTTTTTTGACACTATTTTGGATAATATTCTCATAAGTAAGGCAGGAAAACAGTTTAGGTGCAGTACAGAACTTCAGTTTTTAGGCAATATGGTGCAATCCACCGCAGAGTGGATGCGAGGCATTTATAAAGTTGTATTCAGAAAGTTATTGCAGAAGACGGGTCTTTCAGCTGGGAGGGTGTATCAAATGAAACTCTTTAGGTTGCATCCTGAGTCCTTTGCTGGCCTGTATTTTCATTAACTGCTTAGATGACAGATATGGAATATATCTGTCACATTTGCACACTTGGGAAAAATAATCACTGCATAAACAGCAGGCTAGCTAAAGGATTGAGGGTTACAAACAGATCAGGGGTTGACTATCTGTCAACAATGTCAAACTATTACAAAAAATGCATCTATACTGGGATACATAAACAGGAGCTTTGTCTTTAAGTCACACAGCGATCCATCTGCTCTGCTAGGCTTTGGTGCAGCAGCAGACAGTGTAAACTTTTTCATGAACTGATAGACAAATACCTCTTAGGAGGTATTCGTATACAGCTCAGGAGTAGTTTAGGTCAAGTTAATCTTGCCTGAGGCAGGAGAATTGAGTACAGACCTCAAGAGGTCATCTCCCAGACCATTTTCTAGATTGTGCAGCTCTGTAAGACCTACAAAACCTTTCACTGTGTGGATGTCATTGCCCAACACGCTAGATAATGCCAGCTCCCAGCTTCCTCCTTCGCTCCGTCCGCCTGTCTAAACTGCTTCCCTCCGTAATCTCAGTTCATCTTTAGCTTAAACCCTCTGTCTTCACTCTGTGCTTGTAAAGGCGAAAATTGCTAGGCCTCCTTAGCATGCCTGCAATTATACAAACAAACAGCCTCAGAAACCCAACTTGTAACAGCTCCTCTCCTTCCCCTGAGGGGGTCTCCTTCCCAATAGCATCACTTTTACTTAAAAAAACACCAACTTTAAATGTTAGATCTTGCCTGGCAGCCCTCGTAAGGACTCTGCTCTTCACTGCAGAACAAAGGCAATCTACACTCACCCCTGCTCCCCTCTGACCCTCCATGGCGGCATGGCACTGACAGAGGCTGATGTCCTCCCTAACAGTTACCCCTGTGTCGTGACAAATACGCTTCAAAAATAACAGTAGCTTGTGCTTGGCTGAAGCTCTCTGCCCAGAGAGCCTTGTTTTGGAGTCAACAAGAGACAGTGAATGCATTTGTCTGGCTCTGAGTTACAGAAAATTGGGTTTTGTTTGACCTTTCTCTATTAGGTTAAAGAGCCTTTCAGCAAACAATGTTTTCTATACAAGCTGCTGCTTACATACTGTAATTAAGGTACCCCTCGATCTTCTTTTTGAGAAGTAAAACAAACTAAGTTCCTTAAGGCTCAACCTACAAGGCAATTTCTTGAGCCAGCAAGTCAGTTTTGTGACTCTCATTTTTACTTGCTCCAGTTTTTCTCCATTCCTTATCAGAAGTGATCCGTGGAACCATGAGCAGAACTCCTGGAGCTGTCTCACTAGGGCTTTCTGCAGAGTCTTATTTGTATTCCTAACTCACGTTTATTAATCTCAGGACTGCATTAGCCCTTTGGCCAGAGCATCACAAGAGCTCACGCTGAGCTACTCGTCCAGTGTGACCCTTAAATCCATTTTAGAGTCAGTGCTTTCCAGGATATAAACTAGCATTCCTTATTTCTAGATGTACAGCTATGTATTTGGCTGTGTTAAAATGTACTTTGTTTAAATGGGCTCAGTTTACCAAGCAATCTGGATTGCTCCGCATGATTGCTCTATCTTCATCATGATCTCCCACTTCACCAATCTCTGTGTCAGCTGCAAATTTTATCAGCAGTGATTTTATATTTACTTCCAGATCATTGATTACAATGTTGAATGGCAGCAGGCACAGTACTGCTGCTGAAGAGCTCCTCTAGGAGAACCTTGTTCCATGAGGATTCCCAACTAACAACTGCTATTCTTTTCTAAGCTGTCAATAAACCAGCTCTTCATCTGTCTAATAATGCCTTACTTATAATGTATACTCTTAATTCAAAATAATAATAAAAATAGTGAATTATCAACTCAGCATCTTTATGAAACTCTAAGTTGACCAGCTGCACACTGTAATCCTACAATAACCTAAAACCAGTTCTGATGCTTCAGACCTCTGGGTATGTCTAGCACAGATCCTGTTCCTCACAGCGGCCAAGATCAGATGCCTGAGGAAAGGTTTAGGAGCATGAGCTGCCATATAATGACACTGCCCAGTATCCTTTTCCATCAAACCGTGTTGACTGGGCTCAATTTTATTCTCATCATTTCGTTTCCTGCCTTAGCTATTAACCCTGCTGTTCCCAGGGGAAGGGAAGAACAAAGTGCAGTCACACACAGCACCCCACCTGCTATTTCAGCTGGCACCATGACATCAGTACTCTCCTGCTCCTCTAAAGTAGGAACCAGAAAGTTCCTACTTTAGACCTTTGAAGACCATTTGGTGCAAGTGATCTGACTTGATTATTTCAAATATCTCTGTTTCAAAGAGATTATTTCTAACGTCCTTGTCAGTTAGCAGTGCACTGGCAGGTACTGCGTCCTACATTGCTCTGTGTCAAACCTGATTGCTAGAACTGCTTATTGAATACTTTTGCATATTCTACATAATTAATAATTTTGCCATCTTCATTTGGAAATGATAATGGGGGAACCTGCATGTGCCAGCCAGTACATCTGCAGAGGAAACTGAACCGCACTCTTCTGCTTTCTCTTGAGGCCACGGACACTGGCTGCTGCCTCAAGCAGCGGCTGATGTTCTGATGAAGAGATTCTTCTCCTGGTAAATCCTCACAGTTTCTGTTGTGCAGCAGCTCAGTTTTTTTCCTGAAAAAGGAATCACTTCCAGCTCCTTATGTTTAAGGAAGGCTGTTCTCTGTGAAGTGGTCTCACACCTTTTTGAATCCATATCTACTTCTGGCCTCCACAACATTCTGTAGCAATGAAATCCCTACATGGGGGAATATTTTATGTGGAAAAGCATTTCCTTTTGGTTTTGCATGTGCTGCCTTGTAATTTCCTTGAACTTCCCCTACCTGCAGGGTTATCAGAAAGCACGAGTAATTGCTCCTTGCTCTATTCCCTTCCAGTGTCACAGAACCTGTCAAGGGCTGCTTCCCCAAAACCTGCATTAATTCTGAAGCAGTTACAGCAGTAGAAATGTCAAAATTATTAACTACCTCGGTGCTGATCTGAAAGCAGGATTCACAGCTAATGTGCTTATCTGGCAGCCTCCAATTGCTCCTGTGCCTCCCCACATGCCAGAAACCTCAACGGCCTTTTAGCCAGCTGCCAAAGGAGCTTGCTTCCCCAACAGCTACCACAATGCAGCAACTCACAGGGCTGAAAGTGAAAGGCAA